CCCTTACATCCAGCACACTCCCTCTTTGAACTGTTGCCATCTGGTCGACGCTACAGAGCACTGAGCACCAGAACGACCAGACACAGGAATAGTTTCTTCCCTCAGGCAATCCATCTCATGAACACTTAACAATAACTGTGGAACACACACTATTTATTCACTCATACACTTATTTATCTAACACACATACTCAGTCTACACCTCAAATTTGCACATAATATACAGTACCTGTACATACAAAAACTGTCTATTGTAATATACCTGCACATACAACTGTCAATTTATATATTTTTATTCCTTATTTACTTGTTCTATTTTTTATTATCTGTGTTTTTTGTTCTGTCACTGTCATTCTGTTACACTGTGGAAGCTTCTGTCACGAAAACTAATTCCTCGTATGTGTAAACATACCTGGCAATAAAGCTCATTCTGATTCTGATTCTGATTCTGAAAGTGGATCCCACGAGCCAGATTTGAGGATCACTGTAATATATTATATAAAATACATATAACCTAGGTAAGCCCTAGGTTAGTCACTGATTTACCTTTGCAGCCAGCTCCTTCTGCCTCTCGTTGGGCGTGTCAGGGCCGGGGCAAGGGTTGTGGCCCAGGCCCAGGTGGGTGGACGGGGAGGAGGACTCGGTTAGATCCTCACTCCCGCAGGACAGCAGCGACTCCTGGCCCAGCAGCAGGGTGGACTCCAGCTTCTCCCTAAGGAGGAGGTAGTGTCTGGTTTTCTCCACCTAACATACGGCAGAAGGAAATGAGTTCTTAGATCCTCAGCAGAGCTGCCATGCCACATTCTAGTCATATCACATTGAAAACCAAATAAGTAGATGTTCTCACCTCCTGCAGGAGGCTCAGTTTCTCCAGCTCCCACTGATGGTCCAGGATGAGGCTGTCACTGCGGGGCCTCCAGCCAGCCAGGTTCTCCTCCCCTCGCACATACGCCACCGATGTATCCAGCACCCTTCTGCGTCGTCTTTGCATTCCTGCACATTCAGGTGTCATTTCAAAAGCAGAACCCCCTAAAATCTAAATTGCCCAGCATCCCATAAATCCTCAGTGAAACAGACATGAGATGACTGGTGTCTTACCTGGGCTCCCTGCATCAGCCAAGTGGCACAGACTGAGCTCATACACACCAGTTACACGGTTTCTAAATGTAAAAACAAATGAAAGGAAACAATATGGTAACTTAAATTACAAGAGCAACACTGCAAAGGACTTGTGCGGTGAGATGAAGCAGCTGTACCCTTCAGATGGCCTCAAGGTGCCACTGCTGAAGAGGCTCCTGATGGAGCGAGATGCTGGTAGCTTGGCGTCTCTTGAGTAGAACACCATGCATAAGTCTTTGGTTATCACTGTGGGCTGTGTGCAGTTCTCCATCTAGGAAGAGTAAACCACTGTAAGTGTTTCAATCTAAAGTGGTGCTTCAAATAACCATAGCTTGATAAAGAACAGGGGACATCTATAGAGCGCAACAGTCAGGTTCCAAAAGGGGAATTGATTTTTAATGTGTGTGTGTAAAGTGCACAGCATTAATGAGTATACCCCCTCTGAATAAATACAAAATATTTTGTATTTTGTATATCAAAAATGAGTACACGCTAGATTTAATTCAACAAATGTATAATATTCTAGTACTTAGTATGCCCTCCATAATTTTAAGTATACTGCTCTGATCCTTCTTGGCACTGAGTGTACAAGTTGATGACCTTAAATGCTCTGGTCTTTAATGGGGAGTGTTGCTCAACTCGTCTCTACAGAATCCCCCACAGGTGCTCAAGAGTGTTAAGATTGGGTGAAATACATGTCTACTGAAGGATTTTCACCTTGGGAGAATTCATATCTTCATTGTCATGTTGAAAAAAATGCCTAACAATGCAGGGAATGAGGAGAGGGTAGCATCTTCTGTTTCTAGTTTTTATATTACATCACACAGTGGCATCCCTATATAAGAGCTTTACTACCACTGAACTTCACTGTGGGAACCAGGCACTTCTCACGGTACTCCTCCTCTAGCAACACCATAACATTTTAGATGCTGTTAGATCCAAAATGAGCAACTTGGTATCATGAGACCAGAGTATGGATTCCCAGAAGACTATATTGTGTAAACATGGGCCTTGGAAAAGGTTAAATTAGTTTATTGTGCTTTGGCTATAGTAGGTAGTGTGGACAACAACCATGCATGTCACTTCTGCAGGCTGCATCTTCCTCTGTGAGGTAAACAGTCACTCTTTTCACAGCTTTTACCGGCTCTGAGACACTTGCTTGGTATTTCTCCTGCTCTTTTTCTAGCAAAAAATCACTCATCACTAAATGAAAACTTAAAGTGAAGGCCTGATTATTTCAGGGGCCTTGTCACAAGTTCATTGTTTTTGAATTTCTGTGTTACTTTTGTCATATTTTTGCACTTAAAATATTGATTTGGTATTCTTCTCGTACCATTGTCCTATTTCGTGCTAAGAAATAAGTCTCCTGACAGTTCTCTCCCAGGTGGTTCCATTGTTTCAGCATTAATCTAATAATGATTCATTGGGCTATATAACACTTTTAATTGTCAAGAAAGGACTTATTTTTAGAAGTTTTGGTTCAACATACTTACCTGTTGATCAAAAATTGCCTTAAACTTACACCAGATCGTTTTTTTTTTTTTTTTTTTTTTTTTTTTTTTAGTAACTTTCAGGAGGGTGTACTAATTTTTGCAACACAAAATTTTGTAACTTTGATAAGAAAAATCTTATTTTCCTGAATATTTTTGACATGCTTCTTTGGTAATTGTTCAAGCAGACTTGCAGGAACATCATATCTCTAAAGATCCCTAACATGTCTACAGTATGTCTTCTGCGTAAAGTGTAATTGCTGAATTTGTTACGTTTCAGAGTTTCATTTATGCTGTGCACTCAAACGAGCTCTACAGCGATCACTCAGTCACATCTTATATACTTACTGTATATACTTAGATTTAGCTTAAACAGAACTTAATACTTATTCAGCAAAGACACATTAAACTGATGTAAGTCACAGTAAACACTTTTACACTGTTAATAAACATGAAACGTCTCATGACCAAATCACCAAATCAGCATATTACAATGATTTCTGAAAAAACAAACAAAAAAATGTAGTAACGGCTGTTACTGTAGTAAACAGTTCTTTTAAATTGTAATAATAGTTTACAATATTACATTTTTACTGTATTTTCATCAAATAAATGCAGCCTTGGTAAGAATAATAATAACAATAATATAATAATATATTTAATATTTTTAATATTTTTAAAAATCTTCTCCAAACCTTAAATTTTCCCCAAACATTTGAACAATAGTGCATATCTGAATATTTTACAAGAAACTTAAAATATATAGTTTCTATACTTAAAATCAGTCATCAATGATTACATAATTTTCAATGCTTCAATAAATGTTACATCAAAAAATGTCCTTTCATCTGATTTACAAATACTTATTTGCTTTAAATCAAAATTTGTAATGTTTTTTATTTAATTTATTATTATTATTTTTATTATGTCTGTGTAAAATTAATAGGAAAAATACTTCACAGAACCAGGACCACTACTAAAAGTGGGCAAGCACTGTTGCACTCTATAGAGTTACAAAGCTTACTGCTATTTGCCTCTTTTTCCACATATGTACTTGATTCAACCATTGCAAATTTTCTGGCCCTCGGCCTGGGAAGGGTCTTAAATCTCCAAATGCCTGAGTCAGAAGTATATGAGAGGGGCCGAGCTTCTCTGAGGTATGTGATAGATTGAGCTTGTGTGCTTTAGATGTTGAATGTTAAAGGGAATGGACCTACATGACCCAGTAGGTAGCTTTGAGGCTGTCATTCAGACATGGAGAGAGAAAAAAAGGGGGAAGAGGTCCTGGAAATTGATTTGTTGAAGGGATAGAGAGAAAATAATTAAAAGGTCAAAATTTCAAAGGTCACTGTGGGGTTGTGATCATGGATAAGGTCTAGAGCAGACCATCCCACTTCTTTGCCTACTGAGGACTGAAAAGGGATTTTTCATCCGAAAAGAACAATTCTGTCATCGTTTAAGGCTGGAATACACTACATGACTTTTGCCCAGATTTTGGCTCCTATTTGTAGTCTGGGTGAAGTGACAATAGTTGCCGAATGTCAGAGCCAGTCTGCAGATTTTGGACAGGTGGAGTTAACAGATCTCACAGTAAATTGTGTACTCTATAATGGTATGGTGTATGATGCCTAGGTTTTTTCTGTAACCATTTACAAAGTCAGCAGGTATATGATGCCTAGTGTTTTAAAATCTGTTCAGATTCCAAAAGTCATGTAGTGCATTCCAGCCTTTACCTAACTCTCATGTTATTCTAAAACTGTATGACTTTCTTTTTCTGTGTATCATAGATATTTTGAGAAGCGTCTCAAAATATTTTTTTTGGTCCATACAAAGGAAAACAATGGGCTCCAATCTTGTTTGGTTCCCAACATTCTTCAAAATATCTTCATTTTGGAGACAAAAAGAATTAAGTCCTACAGATTTGGAATAACATGAGTGTGAGTAAATGATGACAGAATTTTAATTTCATAATATTATACCCAGTTACCATAACCATATCCAGCTCCTAATAAGTGGTAATTTAAGGAGAGAAACACTTGCCTTGAAGTATTTCTATTTTTCGGTAAATAGACTCTGCCTTGTTGATTTGGAAAATAGTTTTACAATATAGAAAATTCACTGTTCGGCAACAGAGTTTATGTTTAATATTTGCAAAAAAACATTGATTTGAAACTAAGTTTGGACTTGACATAGACTTGGCCTAGCAAGACCTAGCAAGATTCCTAGAGACTTCTGGATATGTCTGCAAATGAAAAATCCATATTAATCTTCCACTATTCTGACAGGTCCCATCCATATATATATATAAAAAAAGTGTTGGCCCCCTTCCTGATTTCTTATTTTTTTGCATGTTTGTCACACTTTAATGTTTCAGATCATCAAACTAATTTAAATATTAGTAAAAGATAACACAAGTGAACACAACATGAAGTTTTTAAATGAAGGTTTTTATTATTAAGGGAAAACAAAATGCAAAACTACATGGCCCTGTGTGAAGAAGTGTTTGCCCCCTAAACCTAATGACTGGTTGGGCCACCCTTAGCAGCAACAACTGCAATCAAGCGTTTGCGATAACTTGCAATGAGTCTGTTACAGCGCTGTGGAGGAATTTTGGTCCACTCATCTATGCAGAATTGTTGTAATTCAGCCACATTGGAGGGTTTTCGAGCATGAATATTAGCAATACATTTATGTGGGACTGATGGAGCATGTGTGGTAGCCCACATGAAAAAATACTATAGCAATTTATAGTAAATACTATAGTGTTTTTGAACCATACTATAGTAAAGTACTTGAATTCATTTGTTGTGGTAATTCTATAGTTACTGTGGTAATATAACAACTATAGTAACATCAACAACAAATTATTTTACCCAATACTGTACTACGTTTTCTACAATTATAGTATACTACAATACACTACAGTTTACTGTAGTAAAAACAAAAGTATACTGCAGTATTTATTACAGTTTATCGGTTCACTATAGTTAATACTACAGTATGCTGTTATATAGTATGGTTCAAAAACACTATAGTATTTACTATAAATTACTATAGTATTTTTTTCATGTGACTCATTATTATTATTATTTGTAATTCCTTTTTGTTTAAACTGGAGGAATATATGATCAAGAAGTGAGTGACATGGAATACAAATGTATTTATAAAGTTATAAAAATGGTGGTTCTATTATGTTTCATTTGTGTCCAGTTTTTAAAATGTTTTAAGAACATTGGTTTTCGGTTACACAAATGTTAAGAAGACATTCCATTGCATCATTTTAGCAAACATTATGCTAATCTTTAAACAGATCCTTCGAATGTTCACTGAACATTCTGAAACAAGTAGTAATATTTAAAAATGTTATACCGATGTCTAAACCGTTTTACGAAAAAGTTCCATGAACAATGTAAAATCATTTTTTTGTGTGTGTTAACATTTCAACAACATTATTAAAGACCACATAACTTTAAACAAACATTCTGTTAACATTAACGGAAGAACATTTGTTCATATATTTGAGAACACCTTGCCAGAATGTTAGCCAAAGTTCTGAAAACATTCCTTGTTAGCTGGGAAGATGACTATGATCTCTACCACACCTCCTGCAAATGACTCAGCCAAAACACAGGCCATACAAAAGCCAAGCCATGCAATCCAGTCACCTAGAGGTGCCAACAAATGTCAAAAACATACAATACGGAACAGAAGCTTCACACACAAAAGCATTTCCATGGGAGCCAGAGTGAAATTCTCTCACATTTTCAGAAATAGTAGGAGGGAAGGAGAAAATAAATAGGCAAACCAACAAGAATGCAGAAAAAGCAGCATTTAAGAGTCAAAAAATTAGGATGGATGTTGATTGGACAGATGGCCATAGAAATAGAAGAATGAAAAATACACTTTCTGTCTGTGTGTGTGTGTGTGTGTGTGTGTGTGTGTGTGTGAGTGAGAG